CTCCAGGGCAGGACCCGTCTATTTCTTTTGGTTTTAAAATGTACAGACTTCGGTGTTATGTAAATAACAACAATGAATATACAATTTTTGGAAAAAATGCATTAAGATCGATTTAAGTATGATAGTATATGTCAGTACCCAAAGGGTAAAAAACATTACAGGGATGTTGTAATTATATCCAAAACAAACATTATAAATCAAAGAAATTCAGAGTCAAGGTTAAACTTTGAAGGAATCCAAACATGTCAAAGTATGGAAATGCACAGATAACGCACCTAAACAACCTAAACTTTGCCCTGTAATGATGCCATTCAATACTTATCTAATTATGATTATAATATGTTAGTGTGTGGTCCCAGTTTAGATTAATCTGATTTTTAAAAAGAAAGGAGTTTTCATTTATTTCACATGGAGGCATCATAAGGGATGGAAAGACACAGCTAAGGTATGCAAACAACCTTAACTCTGTCCTACAGTGATGTCACCAGAGAGGGAAAAAAGAACATCTTTAAAAATCACTTTAATCTAACCTGGAAACAGATACATAAAAATGCTTTAATCATAATGGTCTGGTTATTTCATGGTGTCACTACAGGGCAGAGTTAAGGTAGTTTGTATACCTTACTGGTGCATTTCCATCCCACATCATGTTTGGATTGCTTAAATTTTATTAGCCTTAATTCTGAATTTCCTGGGATTATAACACTTAGTTTGGGGATAATTATAATTTTCCTGCAATGTATTTTACTCTATATTGGAATTAAGATTGACATTTAATAGCAGTAGTTTAACATAGTTTTTATTTGTCAATTTTAACAGCTCAGTACGTGTCCCTGACGTTAGCACATGGATAATAAAACCATGAAATATTGGGAACTATTATTGAATTAATTAAAACAATATGAAATCAGGGCTAAAATTTTCCCAGTCTAAGAAAAGAACTTTTTAAAAATTCTTACCTCACATGCAGGTTTCTGATTTTGCTTCATTTAGACAAAATCTATGGAGTATTGTTTTTAAAAAGTTTACATAATAAAACGTTTAAGGTTTAGATGATGGCAGTCTTGTCATCTAAAGATCCACAAAACAGATTTTTTTTCATGTTGAATAAATCCATTATATGTAAAAATTAATGTGATCCAAATATTATTCTATGACAGAAACTACAGCACAGAATTATATTTGTCAGAAATACTGACCATAATATATTAGTGACTGTATTATCCACTATAAAAAGCAGGCTGTCTTAAAGTTTGTTAGAAACTAGGAGTGAGTCAATTTTCACCTCTCACACTTCAGCCTTGCTTTACCAGTGCACTGAAAAAAACTTAACATCTCCCAAACACAGTGGAAGATCCAATTGCAGTTTCATGGCTATGTTGAGTTTTGCATTTAAAGTAGAGATCGAACCATTCTGTCACATTTGAAAAATACACTTTATCATCCCCAGAATGACCACACTTTTTGAGTACAGAATGTATTACTTGGTTGGGAATTAAAAGGAATCAAGAATGAGCTTTTTTTAAGAAATGTAACACATACTGTCAGTTAGATTTTTTTTTTTTAAGATTAACTATAACTCTGAATTTCCTAGGTTTGTAATACTAGGGTTTGGGAGTAATTAAACACCCCTGTGATGTTTTTAAATCTCAACCTTAACTTCTGTTTAACCGTTTTTTAGCTGAATACAATCTACTCTTCTTGTTTAGCTACCATAAGAAAACATTTAAATTTTGGCAAAATGCAGTTTCCTTCTCGTTGACTTTTCTGTCCTAATGTTATTACAAGGAAGTACTTGCAAGGTAGTTAGTTCAACACTGCAGATAAAAACATGGTTTTCTGTAGATTACATCTTTATGGTATTTATAGAATCCTCCTTTTCTGTCTACTAAATCTTTACAAAATTCTTCTAACCATCTTCTTCTAATTGCAGGTCGTTTTAGATCTGTGCAGAGGATAGAAGTTCCAGAGTGGGAAAGGTCTCAAAATGAGATGTTGCAATTTGGCTGCGTTCTGAACTGAAAGATAACACAAAACTTTCAAAAGTCCCCAGGAAGGAAAATTAAAAAAGTATAGTTTAGTTTTGATCAAAACATTTATTGAGACAAAAATGTTATGAAACATTCTGTTTTGATTTTGTTGACTGTACATTTTCGATGCCGTTATTATGCAAAATAAACAATTCCAAAAGGAAAAGTTAATTCAAACGGCACAATGGAAATGTTTCGTTCTGAACAGGGTGAGTCGGGACCTTTTGCCATTTTCAGAGAGTTGGGTTTTTTCCTGGTTTTCTATTAAATGAAATTCCAGTGACTCCAACATAATTCCCCGAAGCCTTTCGATGGCACTGCATGATCTGATGGCAAATGGTTCTGTCCCAGTGACCAGGTCCGGGTATAGGGCACAGTTAAAACATCGCTCTTGTATCTAAAGAAACAACCCACCCATCTCCACATGCTCAGAGGAGCGCATCCGCTGATGTGCTGGGACTTTCCCTGCGCTGCGGCCAGGCGATGCTCGAGGTCTGGGCTGAAGGCTGCACCTCAGCTCGCTTCTCACACGAGGGAGCCAGTGTGCCCATACCAGGGTAGCCAGCTGAGGGATGATTGACATTAGAGCAGGCTTGGACCGAGGAGACAGAGAGAAAGAGCCAATTTAGTGTTATGTGAGGTTCGGTAGTGCAGAGTTTTATAACTTGACCTACTCTCGCTCTCTCTTGTTCTCCAGGCTTGGTTCTGAGTCACGCTCCCAGGAGCTGCTGTTTAGATGGTTTCTTTCTCTCTTGTGTGATAGACTTTTATGGCGTTAATTTTCTTATGGTGAATGACATCTGAATATCTCTAGATGATGTGCTAAGGGCTGGTCTGCCCACAAAGGAGCAATCAACAAAAACTGCCTCCGTTTTAATTTACATCTTCATTCCTCTGGCGCAAGTCTGTGTCTGGACACTCCAATTTCACATGCTAATGATTATGGTAGCACCCAGGAGCCCTAGTCATGGCCCGGCTCCCCCTGGTGCTGGGCGCTGTACAAACCCAGAACACAAAGGCAGAGTCCCACCCTGCCCCAAAGAGTTTACAATCCAAGGCTCCTCTTTTCCTTCTGCTGAGGACAATTATGCAAAACTGAAATAGGATTCTGTTATTTGGAAGTAAGTGTCCTCGCAGAGAAATAACAAGAGCTGTGAATTAAAACCGATGTAGTTATTTCCATGCAAATTTATGTCCACCTCTGCCCTAAGAAACAGAGATTCACCAGCAGCTTCATTAGGGTTTGACACATTTCTTTTTCTTTGTTTACTGTGGAGAATGCGGCACTGTCCAGCACTCTTACTGCACTTACTACTCCAACATTAGTAAGGAGTGAAATCGTTGTTGTGATGCTGTTCCATTGTTGTTTTCTGTGGGGGTAGTAAAGACAACTTCTTTTTTTTTAAGGGGTACAAATTGCCATTTGATGTCATAGGATGCAAATTTATTATAATTGCCAAAGGGCCTAATTGACTTAGGAGCCCAAGTGGTGTTGACTTTCAATGGGACTTGGGCTCCAAAAACTCTCATAGGTCCTGTTGAAAATCTAATAAGAATAGTTCATTTGGACGATACTAGTGCTCAGATACCACAGTGCTGGGAGATTGGATAGAGAGGATGGTGTGTACGGAATAGACCGAGGGATCCATCTATCTGTCTCATCTCACTGGTCTCCAGATCCAGGGCCCCACTGTGCTGAGCGCTGCTGGGGTCTTTCCATTGTCTTCAGCGGAGTGTGGGTGAGGCCCTGCAGGCAGACCTGCCCACTGCATTGGTAGGGGAGTTGGCACCCTTCAGCCCTTTATTACCAGCTCAAAGGTGTCTGATAGTCCCATGATCTTTGGGCAGGTAAAGAAAAGGAGCCTGGAGCTAGAGAAACGAGTTAGCTCGGTTTACCTGCTTCGGTGTGTCTGGCAGCGAAAGCCCCCTCCTGTATCACCTTCATTGCCCGCCCCTGCCGGCCCAGCGTTGCCATTATAAACTGGCTTCCCCCGCCCGCCCCCCGCCAGCCTCCCATGCGGGCGCCTCTGAAACGCAGCCCCCGAGTTTGACTCAAAGCCTCAATGTTTATTTAAAGGATTGAATGGCAACAAACAGGCCCCTGTGGGCTTGGATCGGAGACAGTGAAGACATGCTCAAGTCAATTACACTTGACAATGCTGTAATGGCCCGTGGTAAGTGGCCCCCTTAGCCCGCCCGGCTCTGCAAGGCTATGGGGCCTGTTCAGGGGAGGTGCCGGCTAACCCAGCGGCATCTGCAAGACAAAGGAGCAGAGATGGGTCTGAAGATGTAGAACTGGGCTCAGCTCACGGGGGAACGCTGTTGTTCAGACGCAAGGAAAAGCATCCCCGATGCCAAGACATTGAGGGCCTGCTGCTGCTGTCAGGCTGGCCGGTGTAAATGCGCTGGAGGGAAGGGGGGGCGGGAAGTGGGTTACCCCAGTGTTAATGCATGGCAACAGGAGATGTACCCCACAGCAGACTCTGGCCTAGCGCGAAGTGGGTTCCGGATCAGGTGACTGGGATGCCCAGAAGCGATCCACATCCCAGGGCGGCCGCCGCCCAGTTTAGTGGGTGCCGCTTTAATCTTAATTTCTGCCTGCTTGCTTTACCCGGGTTAGGCCAACCCCTCCTTGCAGGCTCGGGGGCCAGAGGCTCTAATCCCTCCCCCCTCGCCTGACAAGTGCATTAGGGGGACAAGGCCTGTCCCCCAAGCCTGCCCACCCTCTTCTCCTGCAGCCATCTCGGGGTTGCAAGGCATCGATTCTGCAGCTGGAGACCCGCTCGGGTCCCCAGGCTCCGCAGCTCGCTCCGAGCCCGGCCTCGCTGGGCGCAGGCTACCAGCGACTCGCTGTCTGGTCGGGTTCCAGCAGTGGGAGCAGAGGAAGGATGTAATAACATGCCACGGGCAATAAATCATCGCTGGCTACTCCCCTCCCCCTCGCCCCGCATCGCCGCCCCCCTCTATAGAGGGGAGGGGACCAGGCATTTCAGCAGAGCTCAGCCGGCAGCTGCAGCCTCCGGACTTTCACTCCCAGCTCGCCCCCCTCGCCAGCATGGACGGGAAAGCCCTGGCGCTGGTCACTTGTCTGCTGCTCTCTCTCTCCCCCTCGGAGGGTAAGTACGCTGCCTGCCCTCCAGCCCCCCGGGGCTCGGCGGCCTTTGCCTCCCGTGCATTGCAGCCGTCTGCCCAGGCATGGTGGGGCTGGAGCTAGGATCGGGGCCGGGGGGCGGGCGGGGGGGCGCTGTCAGCCCACGGGAGGGAAACTTTGCAGAAGTCCCGGCTCGCTTGCAGCTCGCCTCCCCGGCGTCTCGGGGGTGCGTGCCTGTGGAGCTGGCCGGTCCCCAGGGACGGCTGCTGAGCCAAGGTTTCCTTTGGAAAGGAGGAACCAGCCACGCGAGGTTTGGGGAGCGACCCCCACGGGCGGATCTCGCCACGGCTGGGACTTAGCGTCCGCCCCCCTCCCCGTGGGCATTTGCTCGAGGCTCACTGCCCGGCGGTGTCCGGTTCTGTACAAAGCTCGCGGGCCCGGCCAGTCCCCAGCCCCTCCCTGCGCCTTGTCTGCCTCCCGTGCGCCGCGGCAGGGAACGGGGGTGCCCCGGGGCGCTCTGCGCGGGCAGGCCGCCGCGGGGGTTCTGGGTGCAAGGCGAGAGCCGCCCTAGCTCTGGTTGTACTTGCAGAACAGCGACGCCTCCTCGTCCAGCTAACGGAGCGCAGCTCCAGGCTAACTCGTAGCAGCTGCGGAGCGCTGGGTCTGCTCCCAGCCAGCCCCGTGCGGCCACTTGGCCCTGGGACTCCTTCCCCGGGAGCAGAGACCAAACCTCCCTCCTTTGGAGAGCAGCGGGGGAAAAAGAAAACGACTGGGCGCTTGGCCGCTCCAGCCGGGGCAGCTGGGTTGGATCTTGGGGGCACCGGCCCGGGTGCTCGAGCAGCGGGAGGCTGGCCCCCTGTGTGGAGTGTCTCTGGGTCTGGGTGTGCAGCGGCGGGTCTGCTGATTGCGGGGTTTACACCTGTGTCTTGTGGTGCTCCGGAGAGCCCTGAGGGGCTAATGCGGGGGAAAGCTCAGTGGTTTGTGCATTGGTCTGCTAAACCCAGGGTTGGGAGTTCAATCCTTGAGGGGGCCATTTAGGGATGGGGCAAAAATTGGGGCTTGGTCCTGCTTTGAGCAGGGGGCTGGACTAGATGACCTCCTGAGGTCCCTTCCAACCCTGATATTCTGTGAGACCCCGGCACCTGCGAACCTATGTTGATCCTGGTGCACCCGGTCCAGATGCGTTTAGGCTGCAAATGCCAACTAATCGCTGCTGCTAAATTCATCGGCCCTTTTCCATGACAAAAGCCCTCCTAGAAATAGCGCCTGCCCTTGGGAAACAAAGAAAACACCAAAAAGAAAAGGAGTACTTGTGGCACCTTAGAGACTAACCAATTTATTTGAGCATGAGCTTTCGTGAGCTACAGCTCACTGATGAAGTGAGCTGTAGCTCACGAAAGCTCATGCTCAAATAAATTGGTTAGTCTCTAAGGTGCCACAAGTACTCCTTTCCTTTTTGCGAATACAGACTAACACGGCTGTTCCTCTGAAAGAAAACACCGGCCTCCTTGAGTCTCCCCCCGCAAAAAAGGGCACCGCTCCCCTGGCTCGTGGGGAGCGGGTCCATCCAGCGATCAGATCTGATGAAGTGAGCTGTAGCTCACCAAAGCTTATGCTCAAATAAATTGGTTAGTCTCTAAGGTGCCACAAGTACTCCTTTTCTTTTTGCAGATACAGACTAACAGGGCTGCTACTCTGAAACTTTTCAGAAATAAGTCCGTGAATGTTTGTATTGACATGAGAGAGAAAAACTCAAGGCAATCGTGGCAGGTATCTCTGTGCAAATGAATCCGATGTATAAAGATAACACGCTACCTGGGATAAATTCGGATTCTCTTAACTGAGCGTCAGGGGCGTTTAGAGACTCGCTGATCAACATTTTGGAGGTGCAAAATTGTATTTAAGAAGGGGGAAAGTGTAAACCCGAACTGGTCTCAAATGTAGATGAATAAAATCAATCCCCGTCTCCCCAGGGCAGAGCGTGAAGGGAGTTTTTGCTCACTGTGCATTAGCCTTTGCTACCCTGCGGGATCGCTCTGTAGCTAGATGGATTGCTGATCACAGGCGCGTTTCTCGCTCTTTTGGCCATGAAGTCCCTTCTCTAGGCTGGGATATGTTCCAGCAAACGGCTCTTTGTAACTTGCACGATACCTGCCCAAAGTCTCCCTGCAGGAATTCACCCCGTCGGTTTCCTCCGCGGAACTAGAAAGAAAACCCAAAGGGAGGCGGGAGATTTCGCTGTGTTAGTTTCACTCCCAAGATGTTGACAAGGGGCCCGATCCGGTTGCCTCCAATGGCAAAAATCTGACTGCCTTGAAGGGTGCAGGATTGGGCCCTAGCAGCCCCTGGACTCGCTTACCTGTGCCTGCTCCCCTCTGTGTAGGCTTTGGGAGGCAGAGATTCCAGCTCTCCCACTATTTCACCTCTCCTGCCGCCACCCCCGATCTGGACAGTATCTCCTGGGCAGACTGTAACTGACTGCAGCCTGGGTAAACTGAGCAAGGAGTGGTGGTGACCATCTGAACCCATCTCACTGTTCCTACGGGCATGGCTTCCCAGCGGCACAGCCCTGCCTGCAGTCCAGCTGTCCTGGCTGCGGTGGGCTCCTGCAGCCCCTGGGCCCCTGGCACACCTGGGGAGGAGGGGATGCTGCTTTCCTTCAGGGGCCTCGCTGCTCCGGCAGCGGCTCCAGGCAGGCTCCTTGCAGGAGCTGAGTTCTCTGGGTGAATCACAGTTTGTGGATTTAGAGAGGAAGGGGTGTTTGTGTCAGGGATTGCATTAATAAATAAAGGAAACACTGAGCTAGGAGCAGACCCGACCCCCCTCCCCAATCCCACTTTATTAAAAGTGGAGCAATTTCATCCTGGTGTGAAACTGCTGAATACAGCAATATTCAACAGCTCCCCCCCCCTCGCCCCCAACCCTCTACATAAGTGTGATGTCCCAAGCCCCTGGGACCGGCAGGAGCCCAGGGAAGCACTTGTGAGTGGTGCTGCAGGAGGGGGCGGTGCGCGATAAAGGGGTCTCAGGGGCTGCTCCTTGCAGTGGGAGTGAAGGGTGATTGCCCCCTCTGCACTCAGCCTGCCAAGGTGGCTTTCTCGGTTGGTTTCTGATCTGCAGTGGAAAGCCAGCTACAGCAGATGTGTCAGTGTCCTAGTAAAATAGCCCCCTTGAGTTAACCCCTGGCGTCCTTATCCAGGCAAAACTCCCCATCATCCATTGCCTAAGCAGACATGGTGGGCTCGGCGGGTGCTGTTGGCCCGCTTCTCTCCTGTGTCTTCCCCTACACAGAGGTGTGTTTGTAGGGGAGGATACATAAGGTGTCAGGGCTTGTCTACATGGGGAGCTGATAGACTCAGGTGGGAATTTAAACCGCTGTAACCCCAGTGTGGACACACTCATTCCAGTATAAGAGGCCTTTTTTGGGCTGTTATCTTGTACCTGTTTGGAAGAGGTTTAAGCCAAAGGGGGAAAAGCCACCCTAACCTGGAATAAAAGTATCCACATGGAGGGCTAGATGGGTTTAACTATATGTGTGTGATTGTACCAGTGTAACTGATCCAGCTGTCCCATGTAGACAAGCCTTTGGCTTTCCTGCTTTAAAAACACAGTGGAGTGAAGGCTCTGTTTTACTGCGGGATAAGCCAGGTGCGGCCAGCCCCAGGGGTATCACACTGGACTCACCTGACCACCTGAGGGCCCTGCCTCCGCTCAGGATTTTACGGGGAGATAACAAGGGGTGGATCTGGAAGGGGTAAATTCCAGCCCCAGTGGGACAAACCCACACCAGCACTAGCGGGCTTAGAACTGAGGGGCACCCTGACTGTGGGCTTCGTGTCTTGTGCTGCTCCACCTCCATCCTGCTTTGAGCCCGCTAGCTGGGTCAGAGCAGATGTGAGGGTGAGGACTTACACCTCCAGCTCCAGGCGGAGAGACACTCTGTGGGTCGGAGCCTGGTGCTGGTGTTTTACTGAGATTGCTGAAGCACTTAAGCTATCCTGGTAAAATGCTGCCCGCCTCAGTGATCACCTGGGAGAGACCGGCCTTCTTCTCAGTGGAGACATACCCCTAGTGTGTGTCCGTCTGAACAGGGCCGTCCTTAGGATTTATGGGGCCCTAGGCGGGAGTATTAAACTGGTGCCCCTATGCCTGACTTGCTCTTAGCAACACAAACATAAGCGTACCGTACTAGAGAACTTGCTACATGCACTTTATTAAAAACAGTTTAAGCAAATTAAGCACACTGTAATGCTGATGGACTATACTTACACAAAAGAAGTAGCGTTATAGAAAAAAATCTGACTTATTGACAGAATGATGCAAATAATATACTTTTTTTAATTTGTCAACATTTTATTGGAAATTACTGTGAAGAAGTTTTGAAACAACACCAAGCTTTGTATGCAGCAGACATTGCAGCAGCCCGGGCTCGCAGCCTGTTGGGGAGGGATGAGGCAGCAAAGGATACCGAGCCACCCAGCCTGCCTCATGGCGGCGGAGAGTCACAGTTCCTCACAGAGACCCCTGTACCCTCTCCCTCACACAGAATATGGCCCCTGCCTAAGGAGACTGCAGCGCATGCTGGGTGTGCTGGAGCCAACCCGCTCTTACCTGTTATCTCGGTAGTGCCCCAATTTTCAGGTGCCCTACACAGCCACGTATGCTGCATGGTGGGAGGGTTAGCTCAGTGGTTTGAGCATTGGCCTGCTAAAGCCAGGGTTGTGAGTTCAATCCTTAAGGGGGCCATTTAGGGATCTGGGGCAAAAATTGGGGATTGGTCCTGCTTTGAGCAGGGGTTTCGACTAGATGACCTTCTGAGGTCTCTTCCAACCCTGGTATTCTATGAAATGTCTATATGCCTAAGGATGGCCCTGCATCTAAACTGGGGAGGGGGTGCTCTGGAGAAGTCATTGCCTCCCTAGACTGAAGCATTCGTAGGGCAGCTGCAAGCAGAGGTTCCCTGGCTTCCCAGGGCTGATGCTGCGAGCTGACCTGATGCCCACTGTAATGATATGCTGCCTTTGCAAAAAGAGCGTGGGTTTAAGGCTTGTGCAGCCTCACTTTGATATATATGTTCCCTGGGTTATAAAATCACTAGTCAGTAGATATGCACGTCTAGCCCAGGAGAATACCCTCATTCACTCTATGGGACAAACGCTATGGATTCTGACCAACAGTCCTTACACACCCGCCTCCATGGTCGTTACGCACCGGCCCAGATTCTGAACACCAGAGTAAAACTGGAGGATTCTGCTGAGGTCAGTGGAGTTACTCTGCATTTCTTCCCTGCAATTGCAATTGCTCTGCTGTGGGGATCAGCTACTGGCTCACACAATCTTTCATAAAGGTTGCTTGTAATAAGGATTTTCCTGTAATTTCCTTCTTGAAGAAATGGTGGCATCCCCCAATGTTGTGCCCCAGGGTATGTTTGAGGGTAACTGGAGACAAACATCAGTCGGTGTCTAGTGTTTACAGATCAGGTGCAGTTTTACTGGTTGCCTCTTTTTTGACCTTCCCAGACAGCAGTTTAAGGAACTTGCAGCTTGCGCGGGATTCAAAGCCCCTTTCTGTTCCATAGCCTTTGAGGGCAGCTTTGTTTGGGGACTGAGCTCTGCTGTGTAGCAAAACAAACAGAGATGTGGAAGGCAACACTGGATCCAAAACTCCTTCAGACGCTGGGGAATTTGGACCTGAACCCAGATCCTGGGCCAAATTTCATGGATCAGGTCTCTCCCTCTTTATAAACAAGCTTCCCTCAAAGAGCTCACAACCAGCAACCGAACAGCTGTCCAACGGGAAATGGTTTGAAATCCTATGGACGTCCCAAGGCGAGTCCTGCAGGCCCCAGAGATGCTGCCCCCGACTCTGTTCTAGTGTGCAGACGTTTCAGGAAGGAGTCACAATTTCAGCTGTGTACACGCTGGGGGATGGATAATGCAGTCTCTCCAGACCTCAGTGGGGGCTCAGCCTGGGGACAGAGGTCAGGATCAGCCCCCAGAGTGAGCCAGGCTGTCCTGCATACACATCCCCTGCAGAATTTTAAGCTCAGGGGCTAGATATAGCCCTGCTTCCATTGAAGTTGATGGCAAACTACCCATTGATTTTAGCAGTACGGAATCCAGGTAGAGCATGGAATGACTCACAATCAGGTGTCTTGAGTGGCTGTGATTGTGTCATGTGCAGGAAGTTCAGAAGGATCCGAATCCACACTGTTGATGCCCTGTTTCCCGCTGCGGAGCGCCTACTCTGGGAGCAGCCCCCTGCCAGCAGGCACTTGGCGGTGTGAGTACAGGCCAGGCCGTACAGCAGGACCCTGGGAAAGCTCCCAAAGGCCCTGGCATGCGCTGCCTCAGATCAGTTCCCAGCCAGGAGCTTGCACCTGGGCAGAGCCGCTTGTTTTGATTTGGACTCCTTGGAATTCCTGGCTTTCTGCTGCCTACCTTCTAATCTGGCCTCAGGTCAAAATCATTTGGAAAGAATAACAGAGCAGACAAGTGCCTCACTCTTCTAGCCTTTATCTCATCTAATTACCAGCAGCAACTCAGGACAATTGAGTGGCTCCTTATTCTAATCTCTTCTCCATTTCTTAGGGTCCAGTTTCTCACCCCTTCCTTTGTCTTCTAAAATCACAAGCAGCAGGATTAGAAGGCCCCAATGGGAACTAGAGAGGGTTTTGACACACTGCTCCAAGACCACAGCTGTTCCATGGCTCTCTTCATCTATATGTTTTCTTCATGCCTATCTAGGAGAGGAACTAGAGGTGCCACTGGGCTGCAGGTTGGCACCACTGCCAAGGAGGAACGAGTAATGTGTGTCCTCTCTATTTCTGCATCCTACAGAGAAACCCGTCAGCCTGACCTACCGATGCCCCTGCAGGTTCTACGAGAGCAACGTGGCTAAAGCCAACATCAAGCACCTCAAAATCCTGACCACCCCGAATTGCTCACTGCAGATTGTGTAAGTCTCCGGGTGCTTTTTAAGGCTTTACTTGGCCTCAGACGGTAAGCTGGGCAAGGAAGGGAGCTGAAGGATTTCGCCAACCTCGGTAAAAGCTGCTGCAGTCTCCAGGCACTGCCCCAGCCTGGGTTTGAATTTGCATGGGGCCCAGCGCCTTCTGCAAGGTACGGAGCAGAGCAAGTAGAACAGTTTCACTCAGCACATTTCCTCAGTGGAAAACGGCTTTTTTGACTGTTTTCAGAAAAAAAGAATCCATTTTTATTTGGGGGTGCGTTTTCAGGGGGAAAAAAAACCAAAACAATGGAAATTTGAGGGGTTTCATCAAAAATGTCAAATCCAAAAAAGAACAAAGACAAATTTAGATTAAAAAACATAAACATTAAAAAAAACTTTTTTTGTTGAAAATTTTCCTGGGGAAAAAAATCATTTTCCCAGCGGGCCTAGTGTTGAGTACCCTCAGTTCTTGTGGGAGGCATGATTATCAGGTCCTCTTTGAACGGTCTGCTCCTCTGTGTTCAGTTCCTGCTACTGTCATCAGTTCTGCCATCCAGCTAGATCTTCGTATGGCCCTTTAAATTGCACCATCAGAGCTGTAAAAAACTCTCCATTGTTGTATGCCAAAAACCTGTAAGGTTTCATGCGATTTCTCAAAAATCTACATATTTAGTCAGATATATTTTCAGTAAAAATATATATATTTTAAAAAATATCCAACCCACATAGTTTCCTGCATGTACCCTGCCTTTCATTTTGGTGGAGGACAATTGACAATTCAGTCCAAACTGAGAAATAATTTGCTCTTCCTGAAAATGGCATAAACATCGTATGTTGTGTGTTTTGCCAGCTCTGATTGCTACTTGATGGAATGGAGAGGCATGCATCTAAACAGCTATAATACATGGATTTGTGCTCTTCTGGGAATGCCGAATAAACATCGTGAGAGTCAAGAGAAACCCACTGGGAAGGCTTTGGGGGGATTTGGAATGATCTGAAGTCGTTTCAACATAATGACAGAAATTTGAGATTTGACATGATATGCATTTTTCTCTTGATTAACCTGAGAGCGAAGTAATTAGAGATGGCAAAGACCATGACGTATTGAAATGGAAAAATCCTGTTTTCTTTGCCCCAACATGGTCTGAATATGTTTATTGTTTGCAGTGTATTTTAGTGTCTACAGAACAGATGATCCAACTCCCCCCCAAACCGTTGTTTAAAATCTGACATAAAGAGATATACCTGAAATGGAACCTTAAATTCAAATGCCCCAGAAGGTTGGGGAATTCTGCCCCTTGGACCCAACAGAAATTAAAAAACAAAATAAATGATAACTTCTAAAAATCCCATTTTAAGCAGATTTTATCCAAACACTGAATTCAGTTGCTATGTGCCGTGATAAGAAGAGCAGGAGTACTTGTGGCACCTTAGAGACTAACAAATTTATTAAAGCATAAGCTTTCATAGGCTACAGCCCACTTCATCAGATGCAAGTTGCAACTTCCACCTTCTCTGTATGTATATATATATATATATCTTCTTACTAGATGTTCCATTCTATGCATCCGATGAAGTGAGCTGTAGCCCACGAAAGCTTATGCTCAAATAAATTGGTTAGTCTCTAAGGTGCCACAAGTCCTCCTGTTCTATTTGCGGATACAGACTAACATGGCTGCTACTCTGAAACCTGTCATTATCTGGCATGATGTGTTCTGGATGGTGGATGTGAGTAATTTAAATAAGTAATCAAAGCTATTTACTTTGGAATCCATCATTTTTTAGGACTGAAACATCTGATTGGAACCCCGTATTATGGATTTATGGAGTAATCCTGTGATTTTTTACCCAAGCCAAATTCCCTTTGAAGTCAAGAGCAATTTTGCCTGAGCAAATTGTATAGGAGCTGGTCTTTATCTTTAAATACTCTGTGCATGGAGAGTGGTTGGTTGTGCTTTCAGTTTGTTACTCTCCTGTCTAAGGCCAGTTCTGAAGTTCCCATGTGAAGACAATGAGTCTGACTCTGCTCACATTTTGCATTGCTATAACTTCACTGAATTTGGTGGAAAGACTCCTAATTTACACCGGCATAAGTGAGATCAGAACCAGGCCCAATGGAAACCCTGTTGGCGGAAGGACTGCAGGATTGGGTCTGCAGCAGTACACCCAGTACATGACTATTCACAGGACTTCAGCACTAGCAGCATGTTAGATCCCCCGGCTTCTTTCGTTGGCTTACTTTTTATTAAACATTAAGGGCTCAGTCTTGCAGGTGTGGAGCACTTTGACTTCAATCCAAGATAGTTCTTAAGTGTGTGCTTTATTTAAGCAGCTAGGGCGTCTGGCCCAAGTCAATGAGACTCAGATGCTTAAAGTCAAGAATGTGCTTAAGTGCTTTGTTGAATCAAGGTCAAGGTGCTCAGTACCTGGCAGGATTGAGTCCTTAATGAAGAGGAGAATTTGGCCTGTCTACATCAATGCACGGTAATAGGTGTTAATGCCTCCACAACATATTGCCAGTGTGGTTAGTGTGGCATTGATGGGCCTGATCCTGCAAGATGCTGAGCAACTCCTGCAGATGCCAGGTGTCCTCAACTCCCATTGTGCTCAGCTGGAGGTGAGGGACCTCAGCACTCAGAACAGGTACTCAGCACCTTGAAGGACCAATGCCTGACTTTACAGAGCTTTAAATGCTTTGGATAAAGTGCTATATATCTTGTTTCTACCTGACACATCCCATTGAACCCAGAAGCCAGTGACAGATGAATTTCCAGAGGCTGGGAGATGGAGTTTGGTTCAGATAAGCATCCAGAAGATTGGATCTTTATCTGTAACGTATGTAGTCTAAACCTCCGGAGTCTGCAAATCTGGGCTGGAAATTGCATGAGAACAGGCTTTCTCAAGAGATTTCTGGAACTTCCATTTCCGGTGCTGATTGGAAAACACACGAGAGAATGCTCCTCACTGGCAACTTGGCATTTCCAATTCTTTTCCTGCCTGGAGTCCAGAAGTTCAAACCCATGTGAGAATTAAAAAAAAAAAAAAAAAATGAACAGAAGAACCTTTTGGATCCTCCTGAAAGTCCAGTTTGGTTTCTGTTCTAAAACTGGATGAAAGTTCAGAGTCAGGCTGAGCATCGGACAATATTCAGAGGTGTTTGTTAATTCATCCATTGCAGAGACTCCATTTGCTCATCAGTTCTTTCCAAATGAAATGCAGCTCCCACATGCCCTGCGCTGACAGCAACGCGGATCCTAATAATAAAATCTAGAGAATCAATTTCTTTCCTCATTCACGCCCATGCAACCCAACAGCTGCCAACAGATGAGATTCAAACGAGGGGCTGAATTCTGCTAGCCCTTAAAACTGGTGTAAATCCAGAGCATTTCCCATGAAGTCAGTGGGGTTACCCCAGACACAACCTTGTGAAGCTGAGAGCAGAATTTGACCCCTGGTGTAAGCTTGTGCAGTTCCATTGTCTTCACTAGAAATGTACAGGTAGGACGGAGGGCACACTTTGGCCCGGGAGGCCTTCTGTGCCATGTTATCCCTTGTCCTCACACCACAACTCTTCTCTTTCTTTTGACAGAGCAAGGCTGAAGAACAACAGTAAGCAAGTGTGCATTGATCCCAAGTTAAAGTGGATTCAGGAATATCTGGAGAAAGCTTTAAACAAGTAAGGCAAGAAACATACGGACTTACAGATAACACACCCTGAGAGCTTAAAGGGTAGGACGTTCAGGGCTGGCTTTAATCATATGGACCAAGTACTCAGTGAAATCAGGCATTGCTATGAAGATGGGGTCTGAGTTTACCCAGTGTATATTAAAACAGTGGCTTACAGTATTTTCTACACTTTATATTAAGAGATTTGTCAGTATTTGGGGTAAGAGGTATCCTAGCAAGTCAGAAATGGGCTTCCCTCTTTGTAAAAGAGCAGTTCTCCCAAGGAAATGCTTCCTTTATTCCCCTCCCCCACCCAATCTACAATTGTCTCCAAATCTTTATTAGTAAAGTATCTCTGGAGCCCCTTCTCCTCTTTCTGCTGGGAGTCTGTATGCACCGGCAGCTGACGGCTAGTGGGGATTGGCAGGCAGAAACCATGCTTTTGCCATTAAAATTTGCCATCCATTGCTAAGAACAAACCTCCATTCCTGCCAGATGGTATTCAGCCACACCTGGCGAATTAGCAGGCCTGTTTTTCCTCATGGCACTGCAATGTGGCTCTCCTGCTGAGGGTCCCACACCAGTCAGCCTGCCTCATTAGAAGCCAGGTCAATTGGCTGCTGTTGTGAGTGAGCGCAGAACAGAGACCGTCAGTCATTTCTGTGCAAACAGGTCTTTGCAGCCTGCCTCAGATGGGAAATGAATCAAGGGAAGAGGGGAGGGAGCTCCCTCCTTGGGAAGGGCTCGGCCAAGGGACCAGCCAGCAGTGGCCTTCGGAGCAGCGAGGCCCCCTGTGCACGCAGAACCCCTCACCCCTTTCTGCATCTCATTCAACCATGCTGAATCCTACCTCTGCTGCTGCTTTTCCGCCCGTGTGAGGCAGGGCTGGAATCCAGACATTTGCAGAGGGGAAAAGACACCTCAAGGAGGGAGGGGTCAGGGGCATTAGAGGGGAATAGGAGGTGGGGTAGGTTGGTGCATTGCAGAGACTCCATCCTCTGCTTTTCTGAAGCACTTTCAGGAGCCAGGGATAAGAATTCTTCCTGGCAGGGGGGCTTCACAGTAGCCAGGAATGGGGACACCCTCCCCCAGAGGCAGTTGAACCCCTTTGGGACTGGGGTGAGGCTACAGAGAGTGGGGCGCATGGAAACCACTACGCAAATCACTAGCGATTCCAGCCCTGCCCTGCTCTGAGCCTTCCTTTGCCCCGGCCGACTTCAGTCCATGCGGACAGAGCTTGTCTGCACTAGAGCGGCACTGGAGTTTGGCCCAGGCGATGTCAAGAGCAGAATGTGGCCTTTCACATACAGGTAGCTCCTCCTGCTGTCAAGCGGCATTGTGCTGCATTAAGGGCCAAGTTCAGCACGGTACTCAGGCATCTGTCTAATTTGGAACACATGAGCAGCCCCCTTTAAAGTCAGACAAGAGCTTAAGTACCTTGCTGAACCTGCAGAGTAAGGCCCTGGGTCACCTTTTGCTCTCACATCAGTGGAGACCTGGGCCTGCTCCACTGAGAACAAAGGGCCTAATTCTGGTCTCAGGTCAGATTCTGATCTTACTTACCCTACTGCAATCCTGAAGCTGCTCTATTGAATTCAGTAGAATTACTCCAGATTTACACCAGGGTAACAGATGACAATTTGGTTCAGTTAAAGCATATGTTTGTGTCCACTAAGCCTACAATTGTGGCACGATCTTCATGTTCCAACCAGAAATGCTGGCACCCATGAAATTTCCATGCTCCAAGATCATCCATAGATGATCTGGTCTCTCTCTGTAATACTTCCATGGGGCATATTTTTGATATATTTTAGTGCACAGCTTTGACTTTTTCAATTACATGTATTTCAGAATATATTTATAGTTCATTAAACAAGTCATATATTTGAATTGGAACCATACCAACGTTGGTAGTTCAAAAACTGATATCCCTATAAACTACTAACAGCTTGTAAAATAAATAATTATAGATCTATAAATGTTAATGTAGCTTATCAATTTCAATCAGCCATATATTATATTTTTTCACTTGTATTGAAATTGTATCAAATGTGACATTACCCTCTATGCACAAGCAATAAAAATGGCTAATTGTTTCATGATACAACCCCCCAACTGTATGTGGGAATTTATTTTTCTGGAAAAAAATTAATACATTTTATAGAACGGTTTGTTGCAAATTGCTTCAAGGTTACTTAGTTTACTTACTTGTCAGACTTACTCTTTGCTGGTGCTTAAATGCTTAGATCTCTTCTGCGCTATGATTCTGCAGCTATGGGGGACAGAAGGTGTTCAGAATACAGTAGTCTAATACTTGATTTGAAAAATTAATGGGTTTGATTTGATCGTGAAATATCAAGGATGGTTTTCAGTAGAAAAGCATTTTGCTCACTAATTCTGCTTACCCTTTATTCTGCTTGATATTCATCACACCTTCATGTAATATACACAATTATGTGACTTCAGTAGACTATATTAACATTAGGGCTGTCTAGCAATTAAAAAAATTAATCACGATTAATAGCCCTGTTAAACAATAATAGAATACCATTTATTTAAATATTTGTGGATGTTTTCTACATTTTCAAATATCTTGATTTCAATTACAACACAGAATACAAAGTGTACAGTGCTCACTTTATATTTATTTTTGATTACAAGTATTTACACTGTAAAAAAACTAAAAGAAATAATATTTTTCATTTCACCTCTACAAATACTGTGGTGCAATCTCTTTATCATGAAAGCTGAACTTGCAAATGTAGAATTATGTAAAAAAAACCCTGCATTCAAAAATAAAACAATGTAGAATTTTAGAGCCTGCAAGTCCACTCAGTCCTACTTCTTGTTCACCCAATCGCTCAGACAAACAAGCTTGTTTACATTTGCAGGAAATAATGCTGCCCTCTTCTTGTCTACAATGTCACCTAAAAGTGAGAACAGGCATTGTCATTGCACTGTTGTAGCCGGGGTCACAAGATATTTACGTGTCAGATGCGCTAAAGATTCATATATCCCTTCATGCTTCAACCACCATTCTAGGGGACATATGTCCATGCTGATGACGGGTTCTGCTCGATAACAATCCAAAGCAGTGTGGACCGAAGCATATTCATTTTCATTATCTGAGTCAGATGCCACCAACAGAAGGTTGATTTTCTTTTTTGGGTGGTTTAGTTTCTGTAGTTTCCGCATCAGAGTGTTGCTCTTTTAAGACTTCTGAAAGCATGCTCCACACCTTATCCCTCTCAGATTTTGGAAGGTACTTCTGATTCTTAAACCTTGGGTCGAGTGCTGTCGCTATCTTTAGAAATCTCACATTGGTACCTTCTTTACGTTTTATCAAATCTGCAGTGAAAATATTTTTAAAATGAACAACATGTGCTGGGTCACCATCTGAGACAGCTATAACATGAAATATATGGCAGAATGTGGTTAAAACACAGAGTAGGAGACATACAGTTCTCCCCCAAGGAGTTCAGTCACAAATTTAATTAGGGCATTATTTTTTTAACAAGCGTCATCAGCATGGAAGCATGTCTTCTGGAATGGTGGCCAAAGCATGAAGGGGCATACGAATGTTTAGCATATCTGGCATGTAAACACCTTGCAATGCTGGCTACATAAATGCCATGCAAATGCCTGTTCTCACTTTCTGGTGATATTGTAAATAAGAAGCGGGCAGCATTATTTCCTGTAAATGTAAACAAACCTGTTTGTCTTAGCGATTGGCGGAACAAGAAGTAGGACTGAGTGGACTTGCAGGCTCTGACGTTTTACATTGTTTTGTTTTTCAGTGCAGTTATGTAACTAAAAATTTACATTTGTAAGTTGCACTTTCAGGACAAAGCGATTGCTCTACAGTTCTTGTATGAAGTGAATTGAAAAATAGTATTTCTTTTGTTTATCATTTTTACAGTGCAAATATTTGTAATAAAAAATAATATACACTTTGATTTCAATTACAACACAGAATTCAATATATCTGAAAATGTACAAAAACATCCAAAATATTTAATACATTTCAATTGGTATTCTATTGTTTAACAGTGCGATTAAAACTGATTAATTGCGATTCATTTTTTTAATTATGATTAATTTTTTTGAGTTAATCGCGTGAGTTAATTGCGATTAATCGACAGCCCTAATTAACCTCACTGGGAATTGGGAGCCCAGATCTTCTATCTGGCTTTAAAGACCATTGCATAACCATGCTAGTCGACATTAATAATCTCACATCCATTTTGATCGGGCAAGTTAGATCTTCCTTGAAACTGCTAACAACCCATAATTCCCTTCCCGTAATAATTTACAGGCCCAACCCTGGTAATTCTCCTTCCTCACTCAAGTAAAGATTTGAAAAATGGGGCCCTGTAGGAGTTAGTAGATCCAGGAAGAAAGAGCGGTCAGAGTATGCACCTTGCCCATCCAACTAGCATTAGTGTAGCCCAGACTCCAGCCCTTCCTTAAGCCTCAGATGTCGGAGCTCGCTAAGCTCAGCTGGCAGCTCCGGCACACACAAGAAAGCTGATGGGTCTGGAAGAGAGAGGAAAGTAACATAGAAAAAGATTCCTCTTGAGTCTTCTTGGGGAAATAGGGAAACTTCCGACTCTCCTGTGGCCGGCTGCAATCTTAGTTCTCGCACTTGTCAATCAATTTGTGGCAGCTCTTCTTCCTTTGTAAATAATGACTAAGGATAATAAACCACGGCCCCTATCTCCTGTGGCTCGACAAAGTGTTAGGGTCACATGCTGGGCCTTTGCTGCAGCTTTTCTGTGTGGCCAGGGGCAAGTCACTGACGGCCTGGTCCTCAGCCGTGTTGAGTGCCCACAGCTCATTGACTTCACCCGGCGCTGTGACTGGGAAGTTAGATGCCTGAATGCCCTGTGCCTCAGTTTCCCCAGGGGTAATATGGGGGTAATGATGCTTCTCAGCCTCCTAGGCGTGTTGGGAGACGCATGCTACATCTCCGCTGTCTGCCGCTTTCAGCGGTGCGTAGTGTATGCACTTGCGTAGCTCCCTAGCCCGGGTTTAAGTAGCAGCGTAGAGGGGAGGCCCAGCTTCGGTGAGTAGCGTACCGACACGCTGCAGGGGGTGGGAACGTAAGCGGGTCCATACCCTGCACAGCTCTCTACAGCTCTCTACAAGCCCTGCTGGTTTTAGCAGTGTCATAGCCCGCTGCCTCTGAGCTGCTGGAGCCTTTCTCTGCTGCAGGAAAAGACTCCTGTCCGGGAGAGGCCGCTGACTGCCTCCCTGCCCCAGCCTTTCATTGACACATGCAGCTGCATGCCGCAGTGTGGACGCAGTCTGCTTTTCACTGCGGCATGCAGGTGCACGTACCCTACACACTGCCCAGCGAGGTGTGTCGTGTAGCCAGCCCCATTAATTGGTACTTGTACATTGCTTTGAGAGCGTTAGATGCCAGATGTTGTAGAAATATTGTGATGGTGATTATTTAGCATATGGAAATGGCTTATCACTGAGACACTTTGGGCCTGGTTCTCGTTTACACTAAGGCTCCTTTACACCACTTTGGCAGTGAGTGCCAGGAAGTGGGTGTTACTATAATTTATACCCACTTGAAGGCCACTTTACCTTGGCAGAGTGGTGTAAAGGGGTCCTGGCATCAATGCAAATCGGTCCCTTTGTATCTGGCCAATTTCTATGGCTGTCTCTCTCTCTATTTTTTTGGCGTTAGACCACTTCATGACCCTTATAAAATAAATAGCAGCACCAAGAGAGATATGGCCCAATTCTACTGTTTGGTGCCAATTCCCAGAGAGCAAGGATGGCTCAGTGGGTAGGGCGTTATTCTGGGAGAGACGCAAGTTCAATTCCTGCTCCGTCGCAGTCTTCCTCTGTGACCTTGTGCAAGTCGCTGAGTCTGTGCGCCCTGCTCAGTGGGGATAACAGCACTGCCCTGCCTGCCAGCGGGGTTGCAAGGGTACATACAGTAAAAGATTGTCAGGGTCTCAGAAATTCCGGTAATGTTGGGGCAGGTCAGTGGCATTACACTAGGGATGGATTTGGACCAACAGGCTTGATTTTAGAGAATGTGAGAGCATGGTCGAAGAGGACTCATTTTCACACTCTTAAAATGGCCTTATGGCATTTCCACTGATTAAAGTCATGCATTTTCTTCAGTTCAAAAACAGCTGAAAGAACCCAGCTTGAAAGTCACAGAGGCGGATTTGTCTGACTATTCCCCACTCTGCTGTGGGTGCTAAGAAAGGCCTGCACATGGTGTGTATTAGCACCTGCTTATTGATAGCACTTGCCAGCAGGAGGGTGCCCACGGGGATTTCACACTGTTAAAAAGAGACCCACTTTTACGTAATGGTGTATTCTAAAAACACAGGCCCTTTGTTGGTGAAATAACAGCACCACTAGTGAGCCTCCAATGGGCACTCACACAGTCTGCACTTGCTAATTAACACTGTACACAAAGACGTGAAATACCATATTTCAGCTTTATTATTTAAAAAATGCAAAACCTTTTAATGTCCTATAGCGTGTTTCATCCCACTTAAAACACCTGACAGAGGAAAATACTTAGTACTTCACCAGTGCTTCATATTTCCAAGCCACCCTATAGACATTAGCTGCTTCATTCCCGGGATAAGTGTGTGAGATTGTTAGGTAGAGAAAGTATTATCATCCCATTTCACAGGTGGGGAAACTGAGGCACAGCAAGCCTACAGGAAGCCAGAATCGGAGGCAGGATAAGGATTCAGCTGCTTGTGGCTCTCTGCCTTGAGCTTAGTTTTGCCCTTCTGATAACTAAGTGGCAGAGATAAATAACAAGCAACTTCTGTGGATTTGTTATTGATGTTTTAAATGACAAAAACAGAATGTAGGTGTGCAGCGCAGACTGTTACATTGGCCATAGTTTCTGGGTATTAAGGAAAGCCACCTGTTTTCTTGGGACTATTAGATTAGACCGAGTGATTAGCTGCATTTTGGCAGAGGATTGTACATGTCGTGATGCAGATGGGCAACATTCTCCTCTCCCTTGTGGACGGTGGATCTTGGCTCCCATATTTTGCTCTCCCTGCATGCACAGACCTGAGGTCTCTGGCACTAGGGAGAGCAGGGTGTGGGAATTAAGATCTTCTGTGTCTTTCTGAGAGAAGAAAATTGCTTAACGGGTTTAGTAAGTGTCATGGTTCAAATGAGTGTCTGAGGCTAATGATCGCGGCGAGCTGAGAGCAGCTCTTGTCACTGGGTCTCATCACCCACTCATCACACACTGCTGGGCCACAGGCTGAGCTGCTCAGATAGGTAACAGGAAGGGACAGAATGTGCTTCTGCACAGCCGGCTGGGGTGGGGTTGGGTCTGAAGCTTTTTTAATAGCCTGATATTAACCTGCAGCCATTTGCCAAGCTGATCCTCCTCAGACGCACCAAAGAAAGAGCACAGTGAGCTCCTGGGATCTGAGGGGCCAGGTTGTAACGGACCATCTTTGCTTGAGCAAATGACCCCAAACAAATGGTCACTCCCAGCTAACTTCAGGGGAAGGCAGACACTTGCCTGCCACCCCACTCTGACATCCAAGGGGAGCTGAACAGAGGAGGGCTTGGCCTGTCCCCTTTCAGAGCAAGATTCCGCTCAGCGGCTCAGAGACGAGGGAATGGTAGTGTATGTCCATGCAGCACAAGAGCAGCGGGACTTGGCTGTACTGCCTTTGCTCCTTGCTCTCCACACCATCCCCCTGTGCAGAGCTGTCCGAGTGCCATTTGGCTCCCCGGGCCAGTTCTGATCATGTTTTAGCCCCATACTATCCCCACTTCCCCCATTCTTTTTTGCTGCATCTCTGTGCGCAGCAGCGTTCCTTGCTCTGGCTTCAAGGCCCAGAATGAACCTCCTAGCCAGCCTTTCTCCTGCTTAGCGCTGGACGCCTTACTAACTATGATCAGCACTACCTGCAAAAATAACCACCGATGCTGGGCTCAGGCCTTCAGGGCCCCAAGAGCTCCTCCTTCAGGCACCATGCAGCCGAACTGCCTTTGCTTTTGTCTTGATGCACAATGTAGTGGCAACCCCTAAATGACTAGTCCTGATAACTAAGCTCTTTTCTACTGAAAGAAACCTTAATAGTATTTCACTTTGTTCTTCATCAACAGGAGGTTCAAGATGTAAGAGGCAAGCATTGTAAGCCGTCTACAGGATTTCTTACTGTAGGACCCAGAGAGCAGATAACCAGTATTAGGGAATGAATGCATTTCACTGTTATCATGCAGCACAAAGGCAAGGCTTCATGCATTTCCAAAGGCTTTTTTTTTTCTTTTTTTTCACAAATTGGCTTGCTTTCACAATACAATTTTATGGAGTAATGTGTTTGTTTTTTTAAAAAACAATCTTTTCGTAGTTTGGTTTATCATCTAGTGCTGGTGGCAGTGATGAATTTAGATTAACCCTACATTATAATATCGTTTTCCTTGCCTGTATTATTTAGCAATCGCTGTTAAGTTCATGCCAGCATCCAAGAGTTTTTACCTAGCAGGACATGAGCTGTGAGGTGCAATTCGATCGTGTAATTCCTATGTTCCTATGCTCCCAATGACTCAGCATAAAAAGCAATGCATTTTCCCATTCCTTGTCTGCAGCCCTACTTGAGACAGAACACAGGGTTGGAGAGTAACACTCGTGCTGGCCCGAGTCAGCACCGTAGAGCGTGATTTTGCGACTGCGTGTGCAGGCAAATGTTCCCAGTTCCCAGGAGGAGATGCCTCTGTCTGCTGGTGAAACGATCTAGTGTCCAGAGCTCCATTTGCAACAGGGTATCACCCAGGAGAGACATGCCACCTCCGGCAACCCCACAGGCCTGTTATTTCTCCCTCTTGATTCCCAGCTCTGTAACCACATATAAAGATGTATAAAATATGAAATGGAGAGGAAAGGTATCTCAGCGACGGGGCAATCTCTTTGTTACGCTGTGCACTGAGAAATGGGGAAAACGTGTCTTGTCCGAACCGCGAGCAGCAAAATATCTGTGTGATGCCCAACATTGTGTATTGGGTGGGTTTCTTCAGAAGGAATCTCCTCCTTTATGTGGAGTTTGTATTCTGGGTATGCAAGGGCTGTTATAGTAAGCACTCTCTTCTGTTGCAAGTAACTTACATGCCAAAGGACCATTCTGTCTATCCCAGGGATGTCTTATTTTCCACTTTGGTCACGGTGGCAAACTAAGTATTCTCCCTACAAAATGATCATGCTAGCGCAGGATGTGCTTCTGTGGGCACCGTGTGGCCCCATCAGCAGCTCTGCCGGAAAACAGTGCAGGTGATTTTTTTTCCCTACCCTACTAGGTTGGTGCTTTTAAGTCTTGTGCACCCTTTTTTGTAGGCATTTGGGGAGTAGGGATCGAGCACCACTCACATCAGTGGCAGTTTTACAGCTGATTTCAATCGGAGCTAGATCAGACCCTCTGTCATCTGTGTAAAGGCAAAAAGAGCTTACCTGACCAAGAAACCCATAGACTAGTGCATCTTCCATATTGTGTGTTTTATCACCTAGGGGCCAGACTCCCTCCTGATATGGGCGCCTGCAGTTGCCAGTGACTTGGCTGGAGAGTATACACCTGCATCAGAGTCAGGAGTTACCCTCAGGTTTTTAAAGAAGCCCTGGAGAAAGTGCCTAAGAATTTCTGTTCTAACACAGAATTATAACCTGTCTCCCCTACCTGCTGGACAGAGACTCCTCACGCACGCTGTCTGAACTGGGCACCAGCTCAGATCCTGCTCCCATTGAAGCCAGTTTAGACGGAAATCTCACTCTCTGACTCAGGGGTGCATTTAGCCCAACAGTGGCCCTTTAAAACCTGAAACCGTGTTCTGCCTTCCATGAGGAACCCTTTTAACCAGCCCCCAGCGTGAGGACTGACAGAGCCAGCTTCAGTGGGTCAGTGCTCAGAGCACTGCATTTGGCCCTCCCCCAGGCAGGGTATGTCTGCACTGGAAACTGCAGAGCACTGCTGCAGGAGCGCTCCCGCGGCAGCGCTTTGAAGTGCGAGTGTGGTGGCGTGCGAGCGCTGGGAGGGAGCTCGCCCAGCGCTCCTGGGACTCCACCTCCACCAGGGGACTAGCTCCCAGCACTGGGAGCCTGTCCACACTAGCACCTTAAAGCGCTCAGGCTTGCTGATTTTTTCCCCCCCCCCCCGAGCCAGCAAGCTAGAGTGCTATAAAATGTAGGTGTAGACAAGCCCTCAGTCTCTCTGCCTTCAGCCATCATAACTGGTGCAAACCTTAGTGTAGACAGGACTAACCACTGTAAGCCGTGCATGGCACCGGTGCAATTTCCCTCTGCCAAAGACAAAAACAGCCAGCAAGGCTGGTGCAGCAGCACGGAAGGGCATTTGTCACTTGGAGGGCTGTCCCAGTCACATAGGGAAGTAGATGCTTTGTGGGAGAAAGGAACATTAATGACCTATTTTATGGGCTATGAGCAAGTGGCTGGCTGGGGTCTCTGAGGGTTCTGTTGCTTGCCCTGTGGTATTTGCATCAGAAGTGTTAATCAGGAAACAGTAAGGACAGACAGGCAATTTACACTAGAGCAATCAATCCCTGTACAATTGAAAGCTTCTTGCACTATTACTTGAAGTGTGCTCCACTTCTAGATAATCCTTAGCCCTGCCATGAGTGCAGGGGACTGGACTAGATGACCTCTCGAGGTCCTTTCCAGGCCTACGATTCTATGATTTTATGATTCCTGTGTCCCTCTACAATGTTAGCAAGTTGCGGGGCATCGGTTTCATAAATCTGGTTCCACGGAGATGGATCCGTGGTAAGTTTTGCTTTCTACATTTGGCTGTCGACCAAAGACAAATTCAGGGGAAGAAAGCAGGGGCATACAGGAGTAATGCCATGGCTGGCCACACGTGAATGTGTAGAGGAAGGGAAACAAAATAACACTGAAATGGTGCCAAAAGAGCATTTTCCACAAATGTGAAATGTTCACGAGTGGCTGTTTTCTAAGTGACAGATATAGAATCCCAGGTTTCAAAACCAGAAAGGAAAGAAAACATAGTATTTATCACTGTGCCAATACTCATGTTTATATGAGCTTTACAACTGTAGTAGGTGTAGATGTTGATGTCTTATTTGAGTCCTGCTTGAGAAAGTGTGAAGGGTGAATTTTCAATGAGTTGTTAACCGGTGTGGTGTTTGAGCAAGGGTGACTGTGGTTGGTCTTTTCCAATGGAGGCTGTATTCCGAGTTGAATGTACACATTTAATTGAATATGCAGTTCCTATATAATTTCTTGTTGCTATTTTGCCTTTATTAGGATCTTGACAATCCCCTCTTCTCTGAAAACTTGTACTACTAAACGATGTCAATTACAGCATATAGGCGTTTGACAGTGCTCATATCCAAAATATAAACTTAACCTTTACCATCATCCAATCACATAATAGCCTTGTTTGCAAATCCAGATCTTCACTGACCCCCAGAGAAGAAGGCATATACATCACCATGGAAGGGCTGCATGCATCCTCCAACCTCTGATCATTGAGAAGTCAGTGTTGTAAGAATGTGGTGAATACTGTATTTTGTATTGTTACTGAGGAAAAAAAACACTTCCCAGATAATGTGAAAAAGTTTTTCTGAAAGGCAGCTTTATGGAAATATTATATACATTTGTGCTTTTTAAAATAATTCCTTTTCATATAGTATTTTGAAAATAAACACTTTTTATATCAATATCATGTCTTTGTTAAATGTGTATGCACTTATAATTTTCTTAATAAAATTTATACCCAAATGAAATTTGCACTCATTTCAAATTAGTAAATGGTATGTTTTTCCCCCATGCACAAACAGTCAGAAGGGCATTTACATTGGTTCTTTCTTGATCTGTTAATTTCCAAGTCTCAAATGAAGTTTCCCTGAGCTCACACAGACTAAGACTGAACTGAACATGAGATGGCTGCCTGACTCTGCAGCCAGCAGAACGCTGAGAGATTTTAAAGAGTCATTATCTTTCTGGATCTGCACTTCTCTAAGGTGTGAGGAGTTTAGATCTGGGGCTAGGCCTCTCTCAGTCCAGGTCCCTTTACCTTTATTCGTTCACAGGATGTTTAAAAGAACAACAAACATATACAGGCAAATTATACTCTGCCTGGGAAACATGCTGACTAGTGTTCGGGTGCCAGATACCCAACATGCTATTAGCGCATGGGAGGGCTGACGGCCAGGACAACATTCACTGCTCTCTGGACATTCACTGCTCAATGGAGTCAGTTAAGGCATCAAAATCAATGTCTCCACATGCCCAATATCTCCTGGCAGTGCCACGATGTGGACTGGACCGGGAGAGATTCATCTTACAATGTAGGTGGGGATTTTTAAAGGGCCTTGAGGGAGTTAGGCACACAACTCCCTTGGGCCCCTTTGAAACTCCTAGCTATTACCTCCTGCTGCTGTATGTATGGGCGGGATGTAAGCTTCCGGGTGGATACACCAGGACCAGGCGCGCTGCAGAGTCATGATGAGCCTTCTGCAGGTGAATTCATTGAGAATGCAGTAGGCCTGGTCCAGCTCCATGCTGTGTGGCACGTTTGACGTGTCCAACAAATCCCCAAAGTCAGTGAGTCTCATTCCACAAGCCGGCTGTGCGTGGAAATCCTGTTTGTAGCGATAGGAGCGTTGGCAGAGTTGGGCTTGTAGGATCAGACCCAGGGAGGCACTGGGCGAAATCCTATCTCCAGCCAAGTCAATGGGAGATTTGCCATTGACTTAAATAGAGTGAGGGTTCCACCTGTTCCAGTTACAGAGGCGTTTACAGTCTGGGTCTGGCGTTAAGGGAGCATCCATGTTATTTTACCATTTGTAAAGAGAGAACCAACCAGACACTTGTTGGACAAGTCACTTCCCTACTTAACTGCCCTTTCAGCAGACACAGCTCAGCTTCCCCTGCAGAGATGCAGATACAATGCCAGTAGCCACAGGCAGAAGGGTCCTGGAAATGTCCAAATCCAGATGAGGCCACATTTAGATTTAGTTGGGGATTGGTCCTGCTTTGAGCAGGGGGTTGGACAAGATGCACTCCTGAAGTCCCTTCCGACCCTGATATTCTATGATTCTATGATTCCCAGTGTTTATCAGACCAGACAGTGACCAGGCTTCTTAATACACTTTGCCCCCAGCTACCACAACAAGCTGTCTTAGGGCTGGACAGTTAAGCAGGCTTTGTTCGCACCCACTATGGGAGATGGGGGATGCTTCTCAGTTGTCATGAGCACATTATCCCCTGAGCACTCCTCCATCCCTGCCTTCCTTGCTATTCAAGGCCATGGTCCAGATCTTTAAAGGCTGCAGTGGATCAGGAGATGGACCCAGGATGGATATCACTAGCCCCACCAAAGATCCACCAAGACAGAGGTGCAGCTTTGGGACTTGGCTGCTCTCAGAGCCCAAGACACAGTGTGGGAGGGCAGCATTCCTGGTTTGGGAGGCTGGGCTGCAGATTGACCTGCCTCCAAAGGAGAGATGAGGCTAATCCAGAGCCTGACGACTCCTAAGCATGCTGCAAGGCCTGGCGTTGTGAAAAAGCTCTTCCAACATAACTCGAGTGAGCAGAAGAAACAGAAGATCAACACTTCTCAGAGAGAGCTTCTCAGACCCTGGGCTGGGTGCTGAGCAGAGTGCTCCATAGAGACCACTAGAACATTGCTATCCAGCTGCGTAGACACCATAGTGCTGGATGGGGGCTGTGGAAAACCCTAGGACAGGTAGAGAGATCCAGTGATGCAGCTTTAGTCTCAGGCCTGGTCTACACTACAAGGTTAGGTCGGCTTAACTACATCGCTCAAGGCAGTGAAAAATTTCACACCCCTGCGATGTAAGTAAGCTAGGTGGAGAGAAGAATTCTTCCATCGACCTAGCTATTGCCTCTCGGAGAAGTGGATTTACTAGAGCAATGGAAGAACCTTTCTGTCACTGTAGGAAGTGTCTACATTTCAGTGGTGCAGTTGCAGTGTTTCTAGTGTAGACTTGCTCTCAGTGCAGCATGGGAAGCAGTGAACATGGCATTATGGGCTGAAGGATGAGATGTCATTACAGAGCCTGCCCCCTTCCTGCCTTGGAGAAGTCCCTTAGAGGAGTTTGGCCCCATGGGCATTGGACTCTCTCTCTGTGCAGATCTTTGAAAGCTCTCGGGTAGGTGATGGGAAATAGAACCTCCCCTCTCCACAGCTCCCTTGTTTGTGTCCAGCTCAAGCTGCAGCCATCACAAGCAGTACGTTGTGAGCAACAGGGCAGCCACATAGCAGGTTGGAGCTGCTGGACCTGCGTTGATGGCATCTGTAGCTGTCCCAATGACTGCCCTCCATAGCCGGCTGTGCCAGGACAGCACAAGGACCCCTTCTGCAGACACCTGGGATCCTTGTGCTCCCCGGCGGGTGGTCCTGAGCTGGCCCTCTGTAACCCCGATGAATTTTATCCTAATAATATTTCAAACAACGCCCTGAAGTTTGCCAGATAAGTTAGCCAGCAAATACTACTCAACCGAAACAATGTAAAGCAAAAGAACGGCAGAGAAAAGAGAAAGAAAAAAAAAGAAATAGAGCAAGATTAACAGTCCCTTTGCAAATCTGACAGTTATCTAGGACCTGATTATGAAAAATGACCACCTGGATGTGTGCCTGTTTTCAATATTCAAGGTGGATATTTGCATATGCACAGAACCAGTTAGATTAGACATCACACTGGGCACTGGGGTAGGCATTGGCAATAATTAGCTGCACAGTTACACGGTCATTTTTTTAAAATTGGGCCCTTTTTATCTATAGACCTAGACTGCCTCTTTCATCTGTACTTGTCACTTGAACTTTATGGGCCACATTCATCCCACTGATTCCAGTGGAGATACACCAAGAATACAACTGGCACTAGGTCCATGCATTACACACCTTGGGCCACGTTCAGATCTGATGCTCTGAGCTGAGCTGGGGTTGAACCCACTTACTGACCCACCCACATTCGGCTCTTCCACGTTCAGATCTGAGTTCAGAAATGGAAATATGGAAGAAAATCAGAGGTACTGATAAACCCACCACCACCTTTCTATCTATAATTAGGAGTACTTATTATGTTAACATGGCCTAGGAGGGCACTAGGCCAAGAGAGAGAATGGAAAATATACCGATTTCTAGGGCCATAGACCCAGATCCCCAAAGGAATTTAGGCGCCTGATGCCCAATAGGATCTGGGATGTTTGGCTTTACAGATTAAGGCCCCAATGCTGCAATCAGATCCATTTGGGCCCACTCTTGTGCCCCCGCAGAGCCCCATTGCAGGACTGGGGCCTCATGCTGGCTAGGTAAGGGTGGGGAGGAAGGGTAGCGACAGAATCAATAAGATTATGTGGTTACTAGTGTCATGTGACACTGGTGCAGAATTGTAGAAAGACTCAGTTTCTCCTAACAGTGTGTGCATGGATGGATACCTACCGGCCTGGAGCCCCTCGCAGACTTTCCAGTACAGCAACCAGGCCCATCCCAGTCAGGTGTCTGAATTCTGCAGGTCAAGGTCTGCGATTATGACTCTGACACTGAAATCTAGGGACTGATAGCTCAAGTGCTTCTTCCCGCAGCTATCACAGCCCGAGCATGGGAAAAGAGCAGTTTTTGCAGGCAGCATGGCCTACTGTACATAGCAGCAGACTGGGCCTGCAGGAGTCCCAGATCTGCACTGGCCTGCTGCCTGACTTGGCCAAGTCACTTCCCTGCTCTGTGCCTCGGTTCCTCTAGCTGTAAAATGTGGGTAACGATACTGACTTCCCTTGTAAAGTGTTTGGAGATGTACTGATATGAGCTAGGTATTATTCGTATTAATCACTGAACAAGGAGCTTTATTAGAAGGACAACAGTTTTAGCCCTAAAGTTCTCTGTCTCGGCTTTACTGTATGGCTTTCCCAGCCCCCAACCCCCCCGACCAGGCTTCC